GCTGTGCTGTTGCGGTGCTCTCTATATCGTCTACCTTCTCCATTGTCGCTGTCTACTTTCAAGTGTTCTGTTGTTGCCTTCATTCGGGACTCATTCGAATATTCGCAGCGCTGCACATGTTTAGTACCGAATTTACTGGCTCGCTGGCCGGGTTCACTGGTCTTAACTATTTAAATACATACCTACTTCCAAAATAACTTCAAATTCTAGCAGTACATACATACATACATAATTTGAACAAATTGGAAGAAAATCTGACGCAGCGCGCATGAAAGCAGCAAGTCAGCCGCAGCCATCCAGTTAGACATCCAAGTAAATCAGCCGGTTTGCACGTCTTCGCCTTCGTCTTCGCCTAGTCGCGCTCATTAAAGTGCGTTGCAGGTAAATTTTGTCAGCATTTATTTTTCATAAATTTTCTTCTTATTTGCTCAATCATTTTGAGTGCAATTTACTTCGCTGTATTGCGCATTTTTTTAAGTGGAATTTTCCTTACTTTCTCCTCGTCCACCGTTTGCTTATTTACTCGTGGGGTGGATCACGCCTATTGTTTTCGGTTTTTCGGCCGCCAATTCTTTTGAGATATTTGTCTACGACGAATTGCTTTGCCTGAAAATCAAATATTTTACCAACTTCGTCTGAAAATGGCCTGCCATAACTTAATTTTCTTCACATTTCAATCGCTAGCGTGTAGCGTGTCACGTCATTCTTTTGCTACATATTTTTCAGTGCTTCAAATCAGCAAATATAGCGGTTTTCAACTGGCCTCCCTCGCTCGTTCGCAAGCTTTTGTGTGTGTTTGTTTGTGTGTGTGTTGCGTGTGTAACTGCACTGAGGGCCGATAAAGTTAGCCGAGAAACCGAGAAACTCCAATGAAGATGGTGGCTATGGCGGCTGCATACGGGTATGTACAGTGGGTTGGGTTAAATTTTTAAGAGTGCGGGTAGAGTAGCAAGCAAATTTTGTGAAGAAATATCGGTTCTTGAAATTCGTCAGTTATTTGAAGTAGAGGAATGACAACAACAACAGTTTTGTTTTGCCAAATTCGATTTTATTTATACGAAAATATAGTCCCCTACAGTATTCTGGAGCAGCCAAAAGCGTTTCAAAAAATATTTAAGTTCAGTGGCCGGCACCATCTTGCAAAATGTCGCCCTACAATGCCCTTGGAATCATAGAAAAAACAGCATTAACCTCCCTTTTGAGTTCTCCAAATGCAGTTCTTCGGGATTTGTCTAGTCTACCGGCCTTCATTCGGAAACTCTGCTGCTAACAGCAACATCAGACTTCGTGCCTTTGGGCTCTGTAAGGAAAGACCGTCCAGGCTTATGTAAATAGTTCCATCCTAAATGCATTACCGCCTGAAATTAAAGCGCTGCTCAACGTCTGTATCCTGCCGAATGTGGTTTCACCACAAACTCCGCACGAAATTTCCAAGCCGCAACGACTCGAATCAAGATACCGCAAATTTCTTGGATGGCTTAACGCTCTTCACGAACGGATCAAGAAAGTAATGCGGCGTTGATGCAGGGGTTTTCATTGGGCTATATAACCTAATAGCAGAAGGATAGCCTAGCAGATCATGCAGCGCTTTCCATGCTAAAACGTTTCCAATTAATAAGGCAGCAAGGTACATCAAAGAGAATGCACGCACTAGAACAAAGGTGAATATCTTCTCAGATGGGCAAGCGGCTATTCAGGTACTCTCCTCTACCTCTCTGTTAGATCTTAACTAGTGAATGACTGTAGCAAAGAATTGACCTCGATTTCTGTCAACAGGGTGGCAATCCACTTAAGCCAACCGTCTCCAGAGCTGACCATAGTTTATAGTTTAATGGACTTAGGCCTATAAGCTATCCCTTGGTCAAAAGTTTTATTAGTAAGCTCCATGGTTTATTATTGAATAATTTCATGTTTAGGTGAAGTTTTGAAGCTGAAATGAAGCCCAGCCACCCCATTTGGTGATAGAAAGACTAGCTGTAGACAAGGTGGCATTTCAAATTGCCGTCAGTAACACAGTTCACGTTACCACTCCAAATGAGAACAAGAAGAAGCTACCAACACTTAAGGACGGGAAAAGCAGCCTTCAGCATGTAAATATGTACCTTATGTCATAAACTTCTACGCGGATGGCTGCAAATTTGTGGGGGAGGTCGAAGGAGGACTTCAAATTCAGTGCAGGACACCTTTCAAAGCTGTGCGGTATTGTTTCCATATCCATCCTGCAGTATCCTGTCAGAATTCCGGTAACATTTCTTAAGTTATCCTAAAGCGTTTTGCGTTATATGTTCTTAAAAGTGCTTTGGAATGCTTTAAACCTGGTAACGATATCTTTGAACTTCTTCCTTCAGCCGTGGCAGAGCAGAGAGTGCCTTGTTTCCTATGCTACAGAAGGACTCAGAGCTGATGAAAGGGGTTTATTCTAATTTCTTTGCAAGCTTATCGGCTATCACTTTCTTCCATACCAAACGTCCGGAAATCCACAGAATCCAAGCTCGGTTGGCCAGACCAAGAGTATTTAGCTTTTTATAAGGCACTCTATTACCACTTTAGATCTTAGCTGGCTGCAATGTTCTGACTACGATAGTTTCGCTTGATATTAAAGTTCCTGCATCTTTCTATAGCGTATGGTTAAGCATCGAAAATGTATATCTGCTTCCCCAGAGGTTCCGAGTGTTTATCTCAACCTCGGTTCAACTACACCTATACCGGCATCGGGGAAAATGGTATTCCCTGCGAGTTAATTATTGGAGGATTTCTTTTTCGGGAGAACAAACTCTTCGGGAGTATTACGAATTGACCTGATTATGTATTCCCCGGTACATGATGATCTAACTTTGAAATTCCTCGCTGTCAGATTGGGCCAAAGAAAGGATGTACGGTCGACATTGGATGGTTGGTCTCAGATTTTGCTGCGCTTATCTTTAGTGGCTCCTCATAGTCTGTATATCTGGCCAGCTCTCCCATTACCTTAGGTCTGGGACCCCAGGAAAAAAACGATATTTGACTAAGACACCGGGCGTAGTTTCATTTTGCATCTCTTAACCAGCTTAGATTTGGTAACTGGAGATGCTATTTCCGGGTCTTCCGCTTGGAAGGCTTTGTATCCTTTCGCAGACGTAGTGACAGAGGACACCGAACTTCTCGCAGTAGACTGCCACGCCTACCCAGCAGTTCATTTTGTATACGTTCACTTGGTACGGACGATAATCGCACTTGTCTTGTACGCTACTTTTGAGGTCAAGACAAGTCAAGGCTACGACATAAAAAAATACATACATACATTAGGGTGCATAACAAAAAAAAATGCAATTTTCCACCGGAATTATAAAGCCAAAATATTTCGGCAAAATTTTAAGATTTATGTATGTGAGCTAGAACGATTTGAACATACCTCCAAACATCTTATCATTTTGATTCCGTTGATAAAATTTTTAAACATTTTTATGCAGACTTTTTAAGCTTAAATTCTTCTATCATCTGACGTCATTTTTTTTTAGAAAACGTATGTTTTATTTATAAAAAATTTGATTTTTGGAGATAAAGTTTAATGTTTTTCCCGAAATATTTTGGCGGGTAGTGGTGCACCCTAATATATGTACACTTCGGAGAAGAGGTTTCAAAATCTGACCAGCAATTTTTTCGTTATTTCCACATATTTTCAACGTGACCAAAAAAAAAAACGTGTTCTGCTTTACTTCCAATTTCCTTATAACCGATTTTCGCAACAAAACCTAAACTGTCAGCTGTCTCCAATTTCCAAATCACTGTGCTCCACCAACATCATATGCCGCAAACGATGGTTAACCAACGCATACAAATGACTCTGAAATCTCCACACACTACGCTACCACCTCATTCTGCTTCACTTTTCAGCTGTGTTTCACAAAGGGGTCTAGCAGCCGATAGACAATCGTCGCAAATCGAGAGAGCCAAAATTTTGCGGAAACAAAGAGTATACAAAAATGTATTTTCAATTTCGCTTTCTGCTTAGCGCACGCTGCGTCTGGCTTGGCGCTCTGAAACGTAAAAAACGTGTGTAGCCTGCTAGTCAGCTGGAGTCGGCTGTGGTGGCCCCCTATCATGATTGGAGAATCAGGAAAAGTAGCTAAGCCTCAAGAGTGCTCATTTTAGCTCAGCCATTCATGCATCAACTCATCCAGCACTGTGCCAAGTGAGTTGTGGTAGCGTTAGAGAGACACCATCGCCGGCACACGGACGGGCGAGCGGTCTTCCATTTGGGGTACTCTGATGCTCACGCGCGCATCATGACTGGTTTAGTGCTGCTCATGTCGCTTTGATTGTTGGTTGTGTTGTGTTGTGTTGCGTTGTGTTTGTCGGCCGCCGGAGTGGTCGTTCTCGTGCCCGTGCTCGCGCAGTAGTAGTCCATCCGTTGTCGTTGTCGTCGTCGTCGTCGTCAATTGCTGTTTGTATTCCAAGACGAATTGTTGGTTAAGCGGTTTTGATATACCTACCTACAAACATAATACATATATTTACTTGTATACATACATATAGTAGGTTTGTGTATAGCACTTTTCTTATCTGCTCAGGCGGCGGCGGTCTTGTGTGAATAGTGCTACAAAGAGGAGACCCCCAATCATTCGCGGAATGCTGCATATATATATATATATGTGTACATACATATAGTATAATCGCTCAAAACGCATCAATAAATTTAAGCAACAACGAAAATAAGGAAAGAATAAATAAATGTAAATAAAGTACATAGCTAGGAATTAGAGCGAATAAGAAATCAGCAGGCCGCCGAGAGAGAAGCGCTTAGTCAGCACTACGAGAAAATTGCAACGAATAATTGAATATTGAAGTGATTCGAAATGAAAAAATAAACCGCAGAAATTTAAAACTGAAAAAAGGCGCATAGTAGTCCTGCATAGCAGTCAGTCAGTCACCCACGCCTTTCCCTAGCAGAGAATGTGGCGCTTCCTTTACTGGAGTTCGCCCCTTTTGGCTGCTGTTTTCGACGCGTCGTCGTCGTCGTCGTCGTCATCATCTACCAACTCGACTGCGCTGCATTGAATGAAATCGTCGCCGGAACTCTTGAGGCGAAGTCCAACAACGTATGCGCGCACACACACAAATGGGCCAATTGAATTTTTCTCGCTACCCCAGAGTAGTCAGTCCGTCACTCGCCGAAACAGCTCAGCCGCACTGTTGAATTCAGTATTCAGTTGTCAGCCGCAACAGCAGCAGCAGTTTGTAATAGCAGCAGTAAATCCATACATGGGATACCTGTCCACAAAGGTGGTACATCACAGTATATACACACACACACATACGCACGCACGGATGTAAGCAAGCAGGCAAATAGCGCGTAGTATTCAAACAAGCGAGCAGATATTAAAACAAAGCGCAAATGGGAAAGTCATAAAAATAATATAATTATTCAGCGCATATCTTTTGTGTGGCGAGCGGCCTTGTCATTGTCAAAGAAAAAATCATATTCCGCGTTAGCTGAGTTTGTTTTTGTTTTTACTTTTAAACATTTTGTGCAAAATATCTTCTCATACATACATTGTGAGAAGTCAGCTGAGGAAGCAAGCAGCAGTAGCGCACGACGGCCATTGCAAGTGTAGAAAGGAAGTGCGATTAGCCAACATTTTGCAGCCGCCATTGTTGGATTTTGCTCACAGCAGCAGCAAGCAAGGGTGGTGAACTAGCAAGTTAGGCTGTGCGCCAATTGGTAAACGTTGCAAGGCACACACACTGACTGACCCTTCGAAGGGGTGCCACACCGCGCGCCAAGTCATTGGCATTCATACGCCCACACCGCCTGCACCGCGTCGCTATCAGCACTACCATCGTTGCCGCCTAAAGGCTTATGGGCTTTAAAATCTGTGCGCGGTCCTAAAAGCGCCCAGCGGCAACAAGCTGTGATATACCCTGATACTGATTTTTGTGTGTTCTTTTTCATCGTCGTGGTCGCCGTCATCACTTCGATTCGGTTTTGTTTTAAATTTTCTATGCGTACATAAACACCTACATACAAACATACTATACGTACATTGTATAGACATTTAAAATTACGTCTTGTGTATGCGTGCGTCTGCCTTTTTCGTACATACGTTTCGTCGCCGCCGTAGCCGTAGCCATTGCCATTTACCATTTGGCGTTTGGCAATTTTTTCGTTCTTCGTCGTTTGTCTTTGCCATCGTTGTTGAGGGCGGAAACAGTCGCCAGCCACGCTGCAATCGTTATATTCGTAAAATAAACGAGAAATATATTCCGCATTCAAAAAATGTTAAGGAAATACGCCACTTCGCGATAAATAAAAGTGTGGCAACGCCCGCGTTTTTTGCTATACTTTACACGATGCCTCGAAAGTAGAGCTGTGAAGTGAATAAATGTTTTGTGGGTGATGAGTTGATGAGCGCGTAGTCGAATCAGCAGCAACAATAGCTGAACGTTAGAAACGATTTCCTTCTGCAGCCACTTTTCTGTTTCTTCCATCTCCTCTACTCCCACTTCATAAGCCGAAAATGTACGCAATTTGGTGGTAACTTTTTGCCAGCGTGGTTGGGAAAAAATAGCGAAGAAAGCTGGAGCGCCCACCACCTTCTCTTACAATAACCAACAAAACGGCAACAACAAAAACGCACAGCAGCCGTTTCCTTCCAAGCGCCAACAACAACAAAAAAAATACCCGTTGTTCCAACTACATACTAGCTGTGTTGTCGTTCAGCGCCACAACCTGCAAAGCAGCAAATCAATTCTAGACAAGATATCTCGGAACATATGTATATATTCCACAAATACATACACACATTCGTACTCACTCACATTCAACTGTTAAGAAACATTCGAAGCGCCAACGCAAATCCAACAGCGAACTGTTAAAATCGTAGCAGCAACAGCAGAAGTGCACAAAGTGCCGCGTAGCACATCGAACAAAAAAGGTAAGAAATTGTACGCAGACATGGAGCTCGAAAGAAAGAAAGCGAGTTTATAAAAAGTTTTTGTTGGAGAAAAAAAATATATATTTTTCTAAGATTTTTTTCGCAAGTGGCTAGGGGTTGGTCTATAATTTATGGCAAAAATTTGTGATTTTACTTCAATGGATGCTTAAATGCTGATGTCATAGGGACGCGCGCGCGCGCGCCAATGTATGTGTAGTGGTAAAGGCCAAAGTTTTACAAAATTTATGAAGTTTCGAAATTTGTTAAAGTTGCAAAATGCATATTTAGTGAAGTGCGCGAAACTCTACGCGATTTAAAGTAGCGAAAACTCTCCAGCGAGTGAAGAAGCGAGAGTGCCGGCTGTGCTCCTTCTATAAAATAAAATTTGCCATGTGTTTTATAACAGTGCGATAAAATACATATATTCATACGTATGTAATGATTGCAAATACTTTATAAAATCAATCGATGTGAAATGAAAACGTATCATTTGATATGTAAGCAATTTATGGTACGTTTACATAGAGAGGCATATGTATGTATGCAAGTACAAGTTCCTGTGAGTGAAAAAGGAAGCGCGTACCATGAACTGTATGTATGCATGCTTTCCAATTGCATTTCGTTGTATAAGTGAGTGTGAAAAAGTTTTGATATTTAAGTAGGGACCATACACGGTCAACTTGTTTGATCAAATTGCATGTATGTACATATGTATGTATGTATGAATTCGATGGCCTTTTGATCAAAATCAAAGCAATTTTTATTTTCATCAAATTGAATGTTCGTTCAACTTGTATTGTGTAATAAATGGAAACAAAAATCTCTCGCGCTTATGGGATGCGAGAAGCCGCCTCTTTAGTTATAGCAAATGGAAAGTGGCGCACTATGAAAAAGTGTTGCAAAAATATAAAGAATGGCATCAAAAAAAAGCTGACCTTACGAAAAAAGTAATAAATTAAAAAAAATTTAAAATTAAGATTAATAAATTTTTTTTTGTGGTAGTACCACTTGAACAAAAACGAAAGAAGTGAAATTTCATGGGGTCTTTGACGTTTGTAAGGCAAACCATCAAATTACACAGACACGCCATTTGATCGTGTAATGTCCCTTTAACAATTGCCAAGCGTTTAGAGTGTCGCACCACTCGTTATGCACTCAACATATACTACGTTTACATAGAGAGGTAGATAATTACTAGTTATACTGATGTTACACGCTAAAAATTGATACATCCAAACATTTCTTTGTTCCGCCTAATTAAAAAGTTGTTCACGGTCAATATTCAACATCTGCGCATCTGTGTAAAAAGTGCTTGCTGTAAACTGTTATCTCCTCCAAGCTTATTGGACAAAACTAACCTGAAGCTAACTATTGATGTAAAATAAACTGAATACTAGGAATGAAAAAGTTTCGTGCTTATTTGCCTAATAGGTGGCGTTATATGCAGATATCTCTAACACTTGTAGATAATATTGGAATGCTGACATTCGGGGCTCAGTGCCATTGTTTCAGTCAAAAGTAAATTGTGGTTTAAAAATTAGTGAAAATTAAGAGGAGTTTGTCTATATGTATATTGTTGAAAATTCCACTTCACGAATGTCAAGAATGCAATGCAGACAACCAAAAAGGCTTCAGTACCGGGTACTCATGAAACTTTATGTGTAAAAAACTGTGTGTGGCTTATCAAAGCATTCGGCGATTCAGTTACATATGTATGTACGTAATTAGGTTAGGTTAGAATTAAACATTAATTTCATTTTGTCCTCCTGAAGTGGTTCTGAAAAAATCGTGAATTTATCCCGGTCCTTAGTAGTTCTAGAAATGGTCCTTTACTAGCCCAAAATTAGCGCTAACTAGTCCCGAAATGGACCGGAAATAGTCCTTAACTAGCCCATAACGAAACCAAACTTGTCTCGACATAGTTCTGAACTACTCTCAATTGATCCGTAACTAGTCCTGAAATAGCTCCGAAATGGTCATGAAATAGTCCTTCACCGATCCGGTAATTTTTTCTGAACATGCCCGGAAAAAAATCGTGAACTTGTCTGGAAATGATCTCAAACAATTATTCAAAAGTTCCGAAATGGTCACTTAATTTTCCTAAAATGATCCCGAACTAATCCTAAAATAGTCCCGAAATATTCCAGAACTAGTGCCGAAATGGCCCCGAATAGGTCCTGAAATTACTTCTAACTAAGCAATGGTCCTTAACCAAGCGAGAGCTAATCGCGAATGGTCCCCTTTAGATTATTATTGTCTCCAAAACAGGCCAATGATAATAACTTTATTCAGAAACCATACATTCTACAGTTATCCAATTTATAATGTGCGTCTTGATTTTCGTCATGAAATGGAGGAATCTACAATTTGAAGCCACCGCTGAACGCCAGATGGATTTCTATGAAGGGTGTTTGAATGGCGCGGACCGAACCTAGGTCGTATGTTCGTAATTTCTAGAAATAGCGACGAAAATATATAAATCTCCGTGGTCAGAAAACTCCGGACGACAGCATTCAACTGTCGCTAGTAATCCCACAGTTGTCGAGTCCCATCAGACGATCTAGCTGTGCATCCAACGGCGCTTACCCCCGCATTCCCACCGCTATCTGAAACCACCGGACGACCACTACTCGTTCTTGCTAAAAAGGTGCCGGTCGTTCGAACAGTGCACCGGTTTTGATTTGTACGCCTTTAGTTAGCGATAGAGGCGCCCTTAACGAAATAAAACTTTTTCTATGGCCACATCATTTCTTAAAACTATGGAGTGGCTACTAGGTACATAGGTGGACACATCAAAGGAAATTTTGAAGAGAAACTTTGCACGCCTACACCAAAGGCAGATGATTTGGCACAGCTCTCCACAATGTTGTTAGGCGAATGGAGGAAGCCATGGAAAACTGGTGTTATCTCCACTTCTGAGTTTCGAAAGGGTTGGCGTAAGGACGCGGGGCTAAAAGGGAATGCAACGCACATCTGCACCGGCGGTTCTAATATGGACGAAGGAATAGCGACTGCAATACAATGCAGCGAACCGGAAATTCAGGGGTCTTTTAAGCTACCAGACCATTACAATATCTATCAAGCCGGGGTCTTTGCAATAAAGAAAGCGGCAGGCCTACTGCAAAAAATTAACCCGCCAACCAAGCTAATAAACATTTACACAAATAGTCAGGCTAGCAACGGCTAAAACTGTCCACCGATATTGGGTACCAAGACAAAAGTGCCGAAGGTAACGGGAGAGTTGACATGCTAGCCAAGGACAGCGTCCTCTTACGACGCTTCTATAGACATGAAGATACCGACTCCTCTGCCTGCATACCGCCAGGCGGATAGGTTTTGCAAAAGAACTCAGGGTTGCATACTGATTTCCTTCTATTACCCGGAAGAACAAACTCCAGACTTGTGGTACGATTCCTAACAGGTATTGTGTGCTAGCAGCAAATGAATTTAACTAAGACGATGGAGCATACAATTTGCGAGTGTCCAGCCTTCAGCAAGGAAAGGTTCGCGTTACTCGGCAAGGTACAGCTGTAGAGCCTGCAGTCAGCAATCGACAAAGGACAAAGCGTCTAATAAAATTTTCGAAATGTCCTTTAACATAGCGTCAATGAACAGATTCACGAGTGGTACGCGTATCTGACATTTCTTTGGAGAATAGCTTCGTCTTATTGAGAACTCTGATATTCAGCCAGCATAACCTAACTTATGACTTCATACACACTTTCTTTCTGCAGCCAAGGATTGCGCGTGAAGCGGCAGCTTAAACATCCTCCCCGCCCTGCACGAATGCGCGGCTTAGGGTCTTCTGCAGCTCTTTCAGCGCGCGCGGATCGTGTTGCCCAGGACACGGTTAGTAGTGCGGCCCTGGTAGTTGGCCGTTTGTAGGCCTTGAGGGGTGCGCGCGATCGTCCGTCTTGCGCGGCGGTTGCGGCGCCTGTTTGCGCGGGTTCTGAGCCTTCTGTCTTGACTGGCCTACGTGCAGATGCTCGCTACTTGGGCTGCTTCTTACGTTGGCCCGTGCGCGCATGATTGTTGGCTTCCACATGCAGCAAAGTGTGATGCGCCAACGCGCAGTGTTTGCAGCTGCCCGGCGAGTCGCATTCGCCGGTTGTGTGGGTGAGCGCAAGGCAGTTGACACAATGCCCTTTCGCAAAGGATACTGCCAATCGCTGTGGTGGCTTCATGGCCTTGAAGGACGGGCACGTCCTGAGCGCGTGATAGTTGTGGCAGAGCCGACATTGGAGGCGGTTATCCGTCTCTGCCGTTGGAGCCAGGGGGCATGCCTTCCGCGATGCCATGATGTCTTCAATCTGGAAGTAGAAGCAAAGGCAGAGAAACGAGAAGTACTTGGGTACAATATTTAAACGGGAAGTTAAGACCCTTAATATACAGGGGGAAAGTGTATATCTAGGTGGTATATATTGCCAGTTGATGCCTTGAGGCGAATATTTTTTGACAATGTCTGCGGAACATTCGTTAAGGAATTTAACGAAGTCGCGTTCTGTAGCGCGCTGGGCGGCAATGAACGTTTTTCCATTGTCGGCTTAAACAATAGTATTTTCTGTTCTAGAGGAACATACTAGATATACATATATAATTTATTTTGGAACGAATTTCCGTCATCCCCTGTCAAGTTTGCTTTGCAGACAAACCGGTTACGGCGTTGTGCCATCTTCAGTGTCATTTTTCTTCACATCAATCTGATACGAAATGCGCCTAATAATAAACCACAACATATTGCAAGGCGCGCATACGAGGTTAGTGTTTCATTATCTGTCGCGTTGCTACCCAAAGCTAAAAAAAATAGAAAAACTGTAATTGGTTTTATACTAGAAACAAGCCCCGTTTGTAGCATACCACACCCATATGTATGTAAATACAACTATTTATCAAATAAGATATCGATCAAATGAAAGCAAAAATTTTACTGCAATCAAAAGTCATACTTCATAGTCAAACCACAAAATAAATATATGTATGTATGCATTTCCTCCAGGCAC